TTCAAAATCAAAATACCACCATGAAAAGACTCCATTCCCAGACACAAGGAGCTCAGGCACTACCTCTGGCAGTATGCACTTGCTGATTCATGCCAAAAATTTTTACTGAAATTGGAGCAACAGACAGCAAAGGGAATCTTAACTAAATCTTTAGGATCATCATGTTATAAAGGAGAGCTGAGAGAAAACGTAGTCAGTTTTATTTGACTCATGTCCACCTAACTTCCATCGTTCACTTCTGCTTAGCATCCCAAAGCACTATTCCAAGCCCAAGCTGAAATTACATTTCTGGGTTAATAACAAGCACAGGAAAATAAATCATGTCTGCCCTAGAAGTGAACCCAAAACCAAAAGCTGCCAGAGAGGAATTTGTGAGTTGAGTTTAGAGGCAACTTTAATTCTGAAGGAAATGAACCTTTAAAAAGAAAATTCAAATCACAAGCTATGTAGACAAAACATTAATCTACACTGCATTAATTAATTTGGGAGACTTTAAAAACTTTTTTTTTCCTTAAGTGGATATCTGCCAGAGCAGAACTTCTTTCATGAGATGACTTGGGGCCAAATACAGTAATAGTAAAGACATTTGTGCTCAGGCTTCATCAAATCCTTAGGTATGCTTCCATTTCCTAAAGGAGCATCCAACTACTCAGACTTATCTCTGTAACAAGATTTCTACAAAAAAGTAAACCATTTGCCAACCAACACCAGTTTCTTCCTCCTGTGCTTTAGTTCATCCAGAAGAGTGGTAGCTTTTAAAGGCACAAACTAATACTATTCTACACAGCCATGTCAAGTAAAGAGGTTCTGCAGTGGACTAGAACACAGTTCTATCCACAACTGATGTAGAAACCACACCAGAACAAGGCTAACATGCTTTCCTCTAGTGAGGCCAACACAAGGCCCCTCTGCAGATAGCTACAAAAGTCCATCTGTCTATCACCCAGGATCAGAGAGGAGGCCCCTACAGAGTAGCAGCAATGGTAATACCTACAGATTGTCTCTGCATCTAAAGTAGTGTTGCCCAAGAGAAATATCATGAGAGATGCAGATATAATTTTTAAATTTCTAGTAGCACTTAAAAAAAGGAAAAAGAAACTGGTGAAATTATCTTTAATATTATGTTTTATTTAACCCAGTGTATCTAAAACATTATCATTTTAGCATCTAATCAATACTTAAAACATTATTAATGAGACATTTTACTTTTTTTTCTAAGTCTTCAAAATCAGGTATTTTACAGTGGTGACATCTCAATTTAAATCAGTCACCTTTCAGATGCTCAGTAGCAAGATGTGGCTAGTGGCTACCCTATCAAACAGCATGGATCTAGAATGTTTTACATGATAATTGTTTGCTGAATAAATGAAAAGCTCAAAATCTTGTTATTGTACCATTTATTCTCCTAATACTCCAACAAAGTAAGACATATCAGTTGCATGGATAGCAAATAAGGACTTCTGAAGAAAAGGAAGCTGACTCATTTACCCCAAATCAAACTATGAATAGACTCGGAAAAAATTTCTGGTCATCTTGAAGTCCAGAACATGCTATAAAAGACCAAGTCTTCTACTTATGTGCACTTATAAAGCAATACAGTACCTATCAGGCTCTTCTCATTAAAACTGTAGCAAATTCCCAAATCTCCAATTATTTCAAATTGATACCTAGTTATTCAGCTATATAATCCCATCCATTCTTTTTCAGATAGCTGGCAAGTTCATTTCCTTTCCTAGTGCCTATTCCAACCCTTCCTTTTCTATTTTGTCAAAAGCCAGACCAAACAACATGCTTCAATAGCTGGAAACTGTAAAGGGAATTCTGAACAAAACAGTAATAAGGCTCTTAGGTACAGTGAAAAAAACACCAGGCTGAATATAAAACATTCACTTAATTCACTTAATTTCTAATCTCAAAGTAAACAGGCAAATATTTAAAAAGGAAAAACAAAAAGACTAAATCATTATATCCTAGGATGATAAAATTATAAATTGAACTTTCAATCTATTAAAAAGACTCAAAGTCCTTAAAAAATAAAAATAAAACAACCCATAGAGTCAATCTGTATAGAAAAAAAGACCACAGATTTGAGCAGACTTGGCGTTCAACAAGCCTAGATTCAAACCCTAATCCAACCACTATGTGACTTGAGTAACTGTTTAACCCTTCTGAATATCCATCATCATCTGTAAAAAGCATATTTAACAAACTCTACCCCTAATACAGTTATCATGAAGATTATACAAAATAAAACATTATAATTATCATTTGGGTGCTAATAAACCTTAGTTGACTCCAAGTGCCCAGTCCCATTCATTTCTTTAATTTATGTAATGCAGAAAATATTAATTTGAATTTACAGCTCTAACATCAATAGAAATAGGAACGCTATGACCCAAAATTTTCTTTCTATTTTTCTCAGAATGAAGTGGGGGTTGGAATGGTGAACAGCTCGGCTATATTCTACTGAGAACAAAGGTCTATAAAGGGTTCCAGTAAGTGGTGTCATCAATAGTTCAACCACCCCATAACTCAGTACTTCTCTTACCTCAAGCATATAATAATGCCAATATGAACGTGGGGAGCATTATCACAGAGGGATGTATGGGGTAGTATGGAAGCCCAGAGAAGAACACTTAACTCAGCCTGGAGAGAGGTCACAGAAGGCTTCCCAAAGGAAGTAACCACTTGATCTGAGCCAGGAAGGCAAAAATGGTGAGGACAATAGGGAGAGGAGTGGAGAAGGGAAATCTAAAGAAAAGGAACAGTATGAATGAAGGCACAGGATGTGGTAGATATAGGAGAACTGGAAGCAGTTCTTATTGCTAGAATATGAAGTGCTGGTGGATGCATGAGAAGACTATAGAAGCAGACAGAGCCAAGGCCAGGAAGGACTTCATATTACAGAGGAAGGACCTTGGATTTCATCCTGTTAGTGATGGGGATAGAAAAAAACAAGGATGTCATTGGAAATCAAAGAACTGGCATGAGTGAAAAGAGGAAGGAAACATGTGATGGGAAACTGAAGACTGAGTCACTTTAAATGAAAGCAGATCAAACGAAATAAATATTGCCACATTGAATTTATCCATCATTCCTACCATCCTTTCTAGAAAATGGAAAAACACATGGAGGAAGAAACACCTTATCAGGACTTTCATAGAAGAGAGGTATTTATTAAACATCCTGCGTAAGAAATTTTGGTAAACTATTATTCCACTGGGAAAATTTCCCTAAGATCAGGCCTTCCTAATTCATACCAAAGCAGGAAATTGAGTATGGTATCAAAGAAAAACCAGCAATGAAATCACAATATCATTTAATCTTCACTGGCATCAGAAGCCTTAGTACCTCACAAAGCCAGTCTCTCACAGGGCAAAGGAGAGATGAGAACAGGGTCATGTTCCTAGCAAGTATCTCATCCTGCCCAACACCACCGTGAGGATCATTAAAAAGAAAGACATTCAAATCTTTCCAGGTATTATGTGTCACATAATTAACTTCACAGTAACTGTTTTAAGTTGAAAAAAAAATGGCCTCTGAAAAGTCTACCAGAGAAATGGCAAAAACTAAAGAGAATAGAGAATTCGACAGAAAGAGCAGAGGGTTGGGAGTGAAGTCCTAGGATCAAGACACCGAGAAGAAATTCTAGGGGAAGTCCAATTCCAGGGAAAGTTGGTGGGAAAGCAATAAAAATGACAGTTTGGGGATTAAAAGCAGAAATGTGTGGCCTTCCAGGAAATCATGTTATTGAAGTTTTAAACCCTTCTAATCCTTCTCTATTCATAGTTTATAGCTCTAAAGAGTACTCTAAATAATTAGCTGATACAGAGAAGGGAAAGCAATTCGGAGATTTGAAAGACTCCCAGGTGGTATCGGCAGGGACCCAAGATCTAGACTTCTCTGCTGGGCACAATTCCTCGCTGGCACTGGAGTTTCTTCCCTGTAACATTCACTTATTCTTGGGTTTCCAGATTAAAACAATCAATTTCTCTCTTAATCACTTACTCAGGTCCTAATTGTCTCCACTTTCAGTTAGACAAATAGAAACAGAAATTGGAACCAAATGTCTGCATAAAATCACTTAACTTTCAAAAGTAAGTGGAAAATCTGCCTAAGACAACATCAGAAACTTCCAAGAGGTTGTGAAATTGAGCAAGACTACTCCCCTGACGTCAGAGGCAGAAAAATCTATTCTTTTTCCTATATGCAAAAAGGGATACAAGAAAAGAAGAAACAGAAATGTAGGTGAGTGTCATAAAAATAATGCCATCAAGGGGACCTGCCCCACTCTTTGCACAATTATAGGACACGACAATAAGATGAGATAGATTTCTGTCTGTGAAGATAAGCTCTGAACTCTTGCATTCTGTATAACTTATTTTCACTTTTTTTTTCAGTTGGAAGGAGTATTTTTAATGGCCTTTTCATATGACTATGAATATTCTTTGATATTACACCAAAACTTGACAAGTTGTAGTTTCCCTTTTTTCCAGCTTTACTGAGGTATATTTGACTTATAACACCATGTCAGTTTAAGGTGTACAACGTGATAATTTGATATCCATGTACATTGCAAAATGATTACCACAATAAAATTAGTTACCACATCCATCAGCTCACAGTTACCGCTTGTGTGTGTGTGGTGAAAACATTTATATTTTCGCATTTAAGTATGTTCTTGCCCTCTCAAATATTTATTAAGCATCTGCTATGTTCCAGGCAATGTACTGCTTTTCCCAGATAGTGACATCAGAGTCTGTCAGTCATGCTCTTCTCTCATATCTGCCACAGCACCTAGCATGGTGCTGAGATCAGAGCAGCTGCCCAATAGATACCTGTGAAAATATTTCTTTCTTTCAGAGAAATAGGTGAACAGACAGGGTTAGCACTTTACCCAATGATGTAGCACCCTTATAAAAAGTGCCCACTTCAGTAAAAGCCTGCCTCTGGATACCAATCCTTGCCCCATCCTGACTGACTCACCACACTGTACATACCTGTCCACTGAGGCGGGCAGCGGCAGTTGTACGTATTAACACCATCCACACAAACCCCTCCATTCTGACACTTGTGGTTAGGGCAGTCATCAATATTCCGTTCACAGGTGTTCCCTTCAAAACCTGGTGCAAGAAGAACAAGAGAAAATGATGAATTCTCATAGAGGAGAGGTGATCTACTCTTCTCCCATAGGACATGGTCATCAGAACAGACCTACTTCATTATTTCAATTCAGTAGCCAACAGTTGGTCCACCCAGGACTCACCATATAAAAAAAAATCCCTCAATCATCTATCTTCTCTTGCCTCAAGCATCGCTAGACAGTTAAAATGAATCATTATGCCAACGACATGCCTTCATAGTTACCTCACAAGTATTTCAAAGCGTTTTCATGAAATAAAATCCCAGTGAAGATGAATGTCTAGTCAGGACAGCTATTCACTGCTTCTAAAAAAAAAGAGTATTATATTTGCCCCAGTTCCATGCTGGGGAATGAGCCGAACAGATAAAAGATTACCTAATTAAATTTAAATTCCTTTTATTCTTTTCTTGGGATGATTGGTTGGGAAAACTAGGTGGAAGTAGGGAGCATAAGAAAAATACTGAACTTAAAGTCTGAAGATATGAGTCAAGTTCCAGCCTCATTATCTATAAGCTATTTAACACACAGTAAATTACAAACTCTGAACCAGCTTCCTTATCTGTAAAAAGAGGCTGATTCCACCTGCCCAGCCTGCCTTTCTAGGTTGTTATAAGTGCCACGTCATGAGTCAAGTGCAATATAAATATAAAAAGCCAGCTGAAAATGGAGTGGCATTATTACTAATTAAACTTACCAACTCTCCAAAATCTTCATCCTCCTTTCTACATTTATAACATTACTTCCTTCCTCCTCATTTTTCCCTTTTATGAAAAACGAACCAGCACACCAAACTTCGCCTTAACTGACCGCAGTGTGTTCCTCTGTAATTTATATATTGGGCTTTTTCATTTCTCCTTGCTACCAAATCCCTTACTATTAAAATAGAAGACTACCAGCTTTAAAACAAGAGAGAGTTCACAGAACATTCTCCTATTTGAAATATAGTATGACTAAGTATTTGGCCTCTTCGAAATATCCCTTAAAGTTTCCCTCTCTCACTCAAAACACTTATTTGGTCTTCAACTAGGCACTGGGGATATAACAGTGAGGAAAAGAGACAGAATCCCTGATTTCAGGGCATTTTCACCACCATTTGCCTGGTGGGTGGGACAGACATCAATCACATCTTGCTTTATTCATTCCTTAGCACAAGCTACTGTGATATTCTACATCTGCTCTGCTCCACTGGAACACGGCTGGTTCCTCTGAATACAGTGGCAGTCAGGTAACTGAGTATAAACCAAGTGGCCAAATAAATCACCCAAAGACCAAAGGAAATCACTCCCTAGAAGACAGTGATAAGTGAAAGCTTGACTACAGAGAACCATATTTCTCCAGGTATTTGGTACTCAGTCCATTCAAGCAGATGAATCACCAAGTAAGACTGAGAAAGACTAGTAAAATTTTTAGAGACTCAGATTTTTAAAAATTTATTGTATTACTCACATATCTGTTTAATCAAATGAAAGTCTTAAAAATAGAATACTGAGTCAGAAAATGTTGAATTGTTTAGGCCCACCCCTAATTACGATAAGTGAGGGCAAATCTACAGATCCACCAAGTAGCAGTCCCCAAGCAAGAACTGAGGTCCATACTCCTAGTTTAGTCCTCTTAATGGAAATATTCTTTAGGAAAGTTAAAGATACAGTTTTAGAGTACGGGAGAGAAATAGGGCTCCTGACCCTCCACTGTAGAACCTGTGTGGTCTGGGGGTGTTCTAGAACTGGCAATGGTCATCTTCCCCCTACCTTGATCTCTCTGGTGACTAAGACCAAATATGGCTGACCAGGGTGTCAGGGAGGTGATGAAGCCCTTGCAGCCAAACTAGAAGGAATTGAAACTGCAACCCTGAATTTATACTAGCCAATGCTACAACTAACTGAATTCACCAACCACAGACAAATTAAGAAAGCAGAAGCATTTCAGCATAACCACAACATATGAGAAATAAAATGTTTTCTTTTTATGACTATTTTTAAGGTGGTTCTTCCTTGTCAATAGGTAAGTAGGTAAGAAGGCAGGTAGGTGAAAGAGTTCATTCACAGTTAAAGCAGGGCCTCTGGGGCCCTAGGTTCAACTCTCAACCTTGCCATGCCATAGTTATGTGAACATGGACAAGATACTTAAATTTTCTTTCCTCTCTGGGAGAAGTAACAGGACCTAACTCAAAGGGTTGTTGTAAAGATTAAATGAGTTAGATATAAAGAGCACTTAATTTAATAAATAGTTGGACAAATGACTATCTACCTGCAAAAGAATAAAGTTGGACCACTTCCTCACACGATATACAAAAATTAACTCAAAATGTAAGAGTTAAAATTATAAGACTCTTAGAAGAAAACACAGGGTAAATCTGTGACTCAGGATAGGCAAAGCTTCCATAATATGATCAAAAGCACAAGCGACAAAATAAAAAAGAGACAGTTTGGACTTCATCAAAATTAAAAACACTTGGGCTCCAAAGGATACTATCAAGAAAGTGAAAAGACTGCCCACAGAATGGGAGAAAATATTTGCAAATCATATATCTGATAAGAGACTTTTATCTAAGATATATAAAGAACTCTTACAACAATGATAAGAATACAATATACATAATATAGTAATAAAAGACAACCCAATTATAAAATGGGTAAAGGATCTAAATAGATATTTCTCCAAAGAAGATATACAAATGGCCAATAAACACATTAAAAGATGCTCAACATCATCAGCCATCAGGAAAATGCAAATCAAAACCACAATGAGATATCACTTTATACCCACTAGGAGGACTATAATCAAAAAGACAGATAATAACAAGTGTTGCCAAGCATGTGGTGAAATCAGAAACCCTCATACACTGCTGGTTAGAATGTAAAATAGTGCAGTCACTTTGAAATACAGTCTGGTAGTTCCTGAAAAGGTTAAATAGAGTTATCATATCACCCAGCAATTCCTCTCCTAAGGATATACCCAGGAGAAATAAAAACACATGTCCATACAAGTACTTCTAAAAAGATGTTCATAGTAGCATTATTCATAACAGACAAAGAAGTAGAAGCAGCCCAAATGTCTATTAATAGACATGATGAATGGATGAATAAAATGTGGTAAATGCATACAACTGAATATTATTCAGCCATGAAAAGGAATGAAGCACTGATATCTCCTACAACAATGGATGAACTATGAAAATACTATAAAAACATTATATGAAAGAAGCCAATCACAAATGACCACATAGCATGTGTTTCCATTTACATGAAACGTCCAAAATATGCAAATCTATAGACAGAACGTAGATTAGTAGTTGCCTAATACTGAGGGGGAGTGGGGGGTGGCAGGAGATGGTGACTGTCTGTTAATGAGTACAGGGTTTCTTTTGGAATGATAAAAATGTTCTAAAATTGACTGTCGTGATGGTTACACATATCTGTGAGTATAGTAAAAACCACTGAATTGTACACTTTAAAAGAGCAAATTATATGGTATACAAATTATATCTCATAAAGCTGTTATATTTCCGGAAAAAGCACTTAAAACAGTCTGATGCATAATAAGTATTCTATACATATTAGCTACTACTATTATATATCAACAGGATCAAAGCATTCCCTAGAGATTATCTACTCCAATCCTTTTACATTACAGATGAAGAAGTTGAGGGCCACATGGCTGATTTACCCAAGTTTACATGGCTAGGAGATAGGAGTCAGCGCTGAACCAGAAACTTCACCCAGTTTCAATCAGTATGCTCTCGGGGACTCCAGAATTTCCTTTCAATAATCTGAAAAACTGACCTCAGGTCAAAAGTTCCCACGTCTGAGAAAACTCAAGCCAAATCAGTTCTCCTCCAGAGTTAAGACAGATTTATGCTTTAAAAATAGAGATCCAGAACTCTTTTTGGAAACAGCTAGCAAATACTTATAAGAAAGTCTAACAAAGTGGGGAGGGGGTAAGGTTTATATGAACAAGTTAGAGTGCAATCACTTCTTAAAAATATTTTTTAAGGTTTTAGGGGAAAGGGAAACAGACAAGTCTCCAGACCCGTGGGTGGGATGGGTGTAGCCGACTTAGGGAGAGGCTCACATGACTGCACTAAAAGGAGTATACTGCTGAAAGCCAACTCACATCCTTAAAAGGCCAAAAGGAGAGAAATTAAACTTAGAAGGAACATTTTAAGGCTGTGTTGTTATAAAACCGTAGGCCACGTAACTGATAAATGATGACAGTGAGGGTGGGGAGCAGAAAAGAGTCTTTTGAACTTGTCATCCCACACAGAAAACAGCATCTCTCAAGAGAGCATCATATCTTTCCATTTTCAGACCCTGGGAGGTGTGAGGGTTGAGAGATACAAAGAAGAGAGCAGAAAGGGGAAGATGAGATGACACAACCAGGATTCTCTCAGGCCAAGCTGAAAGTTCTCAGGAAGAGCTTCAGCGCACAGCGATGAAATAGTGAGGAAAAAAACAGGGATACCTGGAACCGGACAAAGGCAAAAGGTAAAAGGCTACAGGGCCACCTTCTTCCCTCCCCCCCAGGGAGAAGCCTATCACAAAAGCAAACTGACCGCATCTTTGTCCAACTGGTTTCCTTGGCACACATCTTCCATCCTCTGAATGGGCCCAGATGAGCTCAGTGACCCCCATGACTGGCCCATGTATCCCTCAGCCCTACCACCCACCCAGGCTGCTGCTCCTACCTGCTTCCCTTGATGTTCCCTTATGGCTCTCCACCTCCCTTTCAACCTTATCACCAAAAAAGTCAGACAAATGAATAAGGGGGTTCAAAAGCAATAAATTCAGTACATAAAAAAAAATTACAGAATATAGGAACTCTCTTCTCTATCACAATGAATTCATTTATTTGCCAGATATTCACTGAGTCTCAATTTTGTGCATCGCACTAAGTTGTATACTGTGGGGAAAGTTAAAATGAGAGTGTCTACTAGGAAAAAGGAACAAATAAACACTTGGTTTGATAAGTGCTGTGCTAGAGGTATGAAGGTTGCCAAAAGACCTCAGAGGGTCTCTAATCCCCATGGGGTAGAAAATATAGAAGGCATTTCAGTGAAATAGGTACCTCTGGCAAATCACAAAGAATAAGTTCTATATAAAAAGGTGGGGTGAGGGGTAGAAGATGAAAGAAAGCTGAAGAGATGGCATGGGCAAAACTACCAAGCGTGGGAGAACAGGAAAGACTTCCAGGAACATCAAGTCAAAGGAGCTAAACCAATGCCCCCTGGAAACTGGTACGATCATTTCTGCATCTGCTCCAGAGAAATCTGCCAAATATGATTAGTATAATACCCAAGAGAATATCACATGCCCCTGCAGATGAGAATGCAAGAGGGGATTACTTCTAACAGGTGTTAAGCTCAGCAACAACAGAGGAGACATAAAAGCCACAAAAAGTGTTTAAGCTTTATTTTAATGATATAGGGATACTACACGTAATCAGCCTGTGAAGTAAAGAGGTGGTTTACAAAGAATAAACCTTCGTTGTTTGGAAAGGACAGATGACAGCTTTTTTATGAAGTTTAAAAAAGATCACGGAGGAATAAAGAGGTGTGGGAGAGAGAAAAAGAGAAAGTATGTTGAGGCCTGTTTAAGTGTGAACTCCCAAGGCACAGCCAGTAGATCCAAACAACCCACTGTTAGATTATTGTGCTACTTTTTTAAATATCCACAAACACAAAACCAGCCTAACTCATTCTCTCCCCACTAGTTGGCCCTAACCCCAAATTACTGAGAGTCAATGATTCAATAATTTATTTTCTATTTTGCTCTTACGTTAAAATTATCCTGGCTGAGTGCCCTTCCTCAGGGCTTCTGCTAAAGATTTTACTTAATGGTAGCTCATGAAGGATCTGGATTATTAACAGTTGTTGATCCAAGGAGAAGATGAAATATAGTTCCCTGGTTTTATTCTATTAGTTCCCTCTTGAACATATTCTTTTTTCCTTCCCTCTACGGAGAAACACTTCTTTTTTTGTCACACAGATGAGTCATTTTTTCAGTTTTAATTCCCTCCACATGAGTCTTGCAATAATACTAAAATCAACTTATGGTAACTTTTCCTTTGCAGGAAAAGAACTATAACTTAGCCATTTGAATATAATCACGAATTTATGTGGGGTTCACTGACTTTGAGAGTTGAAAAGGACTCTCAAATTTTTCTTATCTAGTACAAGAGTATACACGAACAAAAGGAGAAGCCAAACTAAGTCCGGGTGCATCCTCAGCAAACTAAAGATGCATGATACCAGGAAGAAAATGAGAAGACCAAAGTTATATTCGCAATACTATGATATTATACTAAACTCAGTCCATAAATATTTGTGTGCCTATTATGTACCTGTCACTGTTTTTAGGTGTTTGGGATACATTGCTAAACAAAAAACAAAGATTATAGCTTTCCCTCTGGTGGGGGAAGAGGCGGGAGAATTTGGAAAAAGGCAATAAACAGTAGACATAATGAAGTAAATTATATAGTGCAAATTATATAGTGAGAAGATGGTTAAGTGTTACAGAAAAGGAAAAGAAAAAGTAGACCAGGGCCAGTAATTAAGGGGGGAAGGGGACTGGTTACAATTTGAAATAGGGTGATCAGGGTAGGCCTCAATTAAAAGTGCAAAGACTTGAAATATGGTGGGAACCAGCGATGGACAGTTGCAGAGCATCTTAACAAGCTACTTCACCTCCTGCTGACTTGGTTTCCTCATTTTTAGAACATTCTCTTCAAATAAGGGTAGTGTTTACATTGAGAGAGTGATTATTATTTTAACTAACATTTTAGTCTCTTGAATAGTGTGGAGGGCAATGGAGGGAGGGGCAAGGAGAATGGTATTACATTATGAAGAGGACTTTCTAAAAGAAAAATTGTCTCCAGGCACTATTTCCCTATGTAGAAACAAAGTTACTTTCCAAACTCCACCTGGGACATAGAGACAATGAGCATAAAATCTTACAAATTGTGTAAATACATATTTATTCATAGTGTTACTGCACCATCTATTGTTTTGAATTCTTTTTTGATTTCCTTCTACACGTTGTCCAAGCTAATGTCATCTGCTTTAGATCCTGGGACCCCAAAGGCAAGAACTAGTCTACTTATTTTTAAATATGTGCATGATGCCATATATAGGCTGATATGTAATAAATACTCTTTGATCGTAATTAGAAGTATCTCCTTTTTCTTAAAACATGAAACTACTTTTTTTTAACCCAAACAACTCAAAGCATTTAACAAAAAGTTTCACACATTTCAGGGGCAGACAGGCAGCACAGTGTGATGCAGCTGGATGCACAAGGCACAGGCTTTGGAAATAACCTGCCTGGGTTTCAGGACCCAGCCTAACCACATGTCAGCTGTGTAACTTTGGGTAAATCACTTAACATCTTCAAACTTGAGTTACCTCACCTGGGAAAACTCAAAAAATCATACCTATCCTCAAGGTTTTCATGTAATTGAGCTAATGGATGCAGAAGTACCTGGCACAGTGCCTGACTCATAAAAAGTATTAAATAAATGTTGGTTTTCTCTTCGCCAAATCTTCTCCCCGCCCCCGCACTCCCATCCCAATCTCTAACACACACACACACACACTTCATCAGGGAGTAAATAAACGTCTTGCTTTAAACTACAAGCAGAGCATAAGAGACAGCCCAGATCTCCTTACTCCATCCCACTAGCCCTGGCAGCCTCTCAGCTGTGGAATCCCTGGTTATTTCCTTTCTCAAGGAGATACTATTCTGGTTTGACAGATCCTTTCCTGGACACACTCTCAGAATTCCCTAAGGTTCTTATCGTGGCTAATGGCTAACAATGCAGAGACTATGGGAGTGAATAATCACTCTCTCCTAGCTAAAAACTTCCTTTATTGACTTCTCTCACTTCCCGTCAGTATTTTGCTGCCAAATCAACCTCTGGTTCTAGGCAACTATTAAAAGTAATTTTCTTGAAACTGAAAAACATATTTAGCCTCAACAATAAATCACACTAACCTCAATTACTAGCCACTGAGACTATTAGAATATTAGGCTATTAGAATATTTGTAAAATTAAATTGTTTACATTTCTATTTGCTTCTTTAATCCTTAAAATACAAACAAACATGGGAGTGAAGAAAGATATCTTTTAGTTATTCCTTCTAAAAGATAATGTGGGTGATGGTAATATTATGTCAATAAAAATTTATTTAGTGTCTAGAATGATAACATTATTTACTCTTCATTGAAAGAGAAACTGAAAGCAATACAATTACTAGCTTGTTCTTGTGGTTTACAGCTAAATGGTATAAAGTTTTCTATTATGCAGCAGTGTCTTGTATCATTGTATCCCAAGCACACAGCATGGTGCCTAGAACATGGCTGGCAGTCAGTAAATTTTTACTGAATGAAGTGAACAAATTACCATTTGGTTTTATACCGAGGACCAAGATATCACCTTTAATCTCCAAATTAAACACACAACCCCATTATACGTGAACCATAGCCCCAACACCAGAACCTAAGATTCCCATTCTGCAAGAGTAGCTAGAACAACTTCTTTTTGAGGCAGTTCTGCTTACTTAGCACATTACTCTCCCCTACAGTTTTCCTTCTTTTGTTTTTGTACTAAGAATATTTGTATAAAAACAGAATCTTTGTTGCTTAGTAATTCATCTGCTCCAGCTGCTTGTGTTCTGTTCCCAATCAAAATTCTCGGTTTTCAACCTCCTCATCGTTTTTATAAGGAGTTTAGTGAATTGGCCAGGCTTGCTCCTTTCTCCATCTCTACAGAATGCAGGGCCCCAAGCTCCCATACACTGATTCTCTCATTGCTTCTATCTTGGAATTAAGCACTCACTGATTAACAGAGCACCACACCCCCTCAGTTCCAAACTTCTCTAGCTTCAAGCTGGGGCAGGGTTACTGTGAAGTCAGTGAGGGTAGGTACATGGAGAGGGTTCTGAGGGAGAGAAGCCCAAGGAAAATCACAAAAGAGTAGGCGGGTGCATTTAGGTAGACAGGAAAATAACCTATTACTCCATCAGAGGTGAAATAAAATAAAAGTTGGTCACCTGATATTACTGTCAACTCAGTTTAAAGCGCTTTATTAATCATACATACACATTTTTCTGTCTAATTCTCACTGTGTTCCTTTCCATGCCATAGACTTCTCTATCCCTTTCCTGGAGCTCTGTTTCTCTTATTTCTTACTGTTTCTCCAAAAAGAACAATAAACAATTTCCTAGCCACTCATCATCATAAACTGTGACATGTTAAACTACCCCCTGCTCAGTTTATGGACCACATTGGGCCCATAAAACCCCTCCCTCACCAGTGACCCACCTCACACAAAATTCTCACTTCCCCTTTTCCCTCCTGGGAAGGCTACTTCCTAAAGGAGCAATTGAGCCACACCTACCACCTTTCTTCTGTGCTGCACGTGCACCCCCAATCCCAAGACACTAGGGGGACTGCTTACCTGGAAGGCAGTTGCACTCAAAAGTGAAGTCACCAGTCTGCCGGCAGGTGCCTCCATTGACACAGGGGGAGGGTGCACAGGGCACATAAGGGCTGTCACAGTGCTGGCCTGTGAAACCCTGGGGGCACTGGCATTGATAGGAACCAGGTAGGTTGAGGCAAGTGCCACCATGCTGGCATTGTCCAGGAATTTCACACTCATTGACATCAGTCTCACACTTCTGCCCTGTGAAGCCTCCAAGGCATTTACAGGAGAACTGGTTGGCCACAGTGGTACAGGTACTTCCATTTGCACAGGGATGAGACAGGCAGGCATCAGTCCATTGGCACAGCTTACCTAGAGGAAGGATAAGAGAACTCAGTACTGCCCACAAAAATGGGAGTTAGCCCAATTCTCAACACCCCACATCTTGACACCAGGGAGCTCCTGCATGGAAAATCCCTAAACTCTCTGAATTTTACAGGAAGCCCAAATAAGAGCCTCATCAAGATCATCTGACACAGGCACTCTCCAGGGCCCTCAGCTGAGACACAAAGAGCCAACGAGCACATGGAGAAGACTGTAAGCTAGTCACAAGAAGCCCAGTCCTGCAGGATCCCATCAGTCCCTGCAGCAAAGAAGGGTCTGGGTCCACCTATTGTCTCACACTTCCTTGTCTTTGCATAACGTGCTCTTCGGTTTGGAATGCTATCTTCCTTTTTGTTTTCCTAGTGAACTCCCAATTATCTTGACAACTCTACTCATAAATCACGGTTACTAAAGTCATCCTTAATGCCTCCCTCAACTCCCCAAATCTCTCTCTCTCTCACACACACACACACACACACGCCCCTGCACACGCATCTCAAGCTTGCTGTTTCCTTCTGTTATACCACCTGCCACACTGTCAGGGGCTGGATCCCCGTAGTAGGCTCTCAAATCATGTCTGGTGAATGAATAAAATGTACTGATATTTTCCGCAGCATATTACTAGTTACTAAATTAACCTCTTGGATGATAGAAACAAGTCAACACTACTTCTATTTCCTTTAAACCAACACACATGCACACAAATTCTGGGAAACATTTTATTAATTGTGGTCTTGCTGCAAATATTGCTTGATGTGTTTGAAGAGGATGAAGACTCTCTGGCTCCTTATATATGAAAAGAACTAGAAGTTCCCATAAGAATAAAGGTCTAAAAAGGTAACTGTTGTGGACTCTCTCGGGTACGAAAGTACTAGCAGAAGCAGGAAGACTCTGACGTGCTAGATCCTAAGGCATGACTTCACAGGAGCAAAGCAGATTCTTTGAGATAGAAAGAGAGAGAGAAAAAAAATACTCCCATGCTACTAGTAAATTTGGCATTCACATGGTTTTCTGTTTTCATTAGCCTCATCCTTTTTTAAACTAAAGATATGAGAACTCCATGAATTTATTAATACTCCATCTGGTTGTCTAGGTAAACATCCAAATCTTTGACCCCCACAGAAAAGCAAATGAGAGCTATGACATCTTTTCTAAAAGGGACAACGAGGTGACACATGAGCACATAGAAGTGGTCTCTGCCTATTAAGGACCGTCAAATCAAATGGAAAAGGTGCAATAAAAGTCTGGGCACAGCACATATATCTCAGGGTGCTAAGCAGAGAGAAAATGAAGGAACTGTAATTTTTCTCCCTATTTTCTCTCATTCCACTGAGAGGTACTTACTTACAGTGGAGAAGAGATAAAAATGCTTACTTCTAGCAACCATGTGTGTCAGAATGTTTGCCTACAACTAAAACAGGAAGGTCCTTGAACTTGGTTTTCCATATATGTTACATAGGCACTAATATACATAGGCACTAACTTCCTGCCTCTGTTTCTTCATCTATGAGTAGATACAAGTTAATATGGTCTGACTAGATGGGGTATTGGGTTATCACAAAACCAAAGGGATGAACTTGACCTGTGGTGATTCCTAAAGTGACAGACAAGTGGCAGATGTATAAAGATGATCAGAACTCTGCAGAACACCAAAAAGAGATCCTTTTAAAAGAAAAGGAAGAAGTCATAATTTAGGGATCATTTCAGAGTAGCATTTTAATTATGAAGAAAGCACTGCTGGCATTTCCACTGAACAAGATTAAAATGTTTTAAATGGGTATGCCCTCCCCTTTGGCTGTGGAGCAAAACAACTCAAACCAACAATTAGGAAAAAATTAATCTGTTAACCACCACATCTCTTCGATGACTCACAGCATCACTGCTGTCATAGTCATGATGGAGATAATGGATCATCCTAACTATCCTCAACCCCACCAACACCTTTACATGAAAAATCAGTATAACAAGTATTCCTAACTAGTCTAGTTTTATGGGTATGTTTTTTAATTTTTGCCAATTAGATCTACAGAATTGTTGGTGTGGTGGGGGACAAAATGGTAAATGGTTCTCCTTTTCTCATATAACTTAATAAACATTTATGGTTCATCCTGAATAAAGCTCAGACCCACCTTTAAAGAACCCATAATCTAGTCAGATGAGAGACATGTAAAAAATTAATTGCAATAAAAAGTGACACATAAAATAAGAGAACATACAAACTAAACTGCCTCAAAGAGTCATGAAAGGGTCAGTAAGACAGAGTTTTACATAACATTGGGCAATCACCAATTGTAGAAAAGGGCATTCCAGGAAGAGGGGTGTGTAATAGGATGGAGGCAGTAGGAAGGGTGACATTTTCAGGAAGTGATGAGAATGTTGACGTGACTAGAGATAGATGCTGGTGGGGAGGTGAGGCTATAAAAATACAGAAGGCCTAGACTGGGAAGGGCCATGGAAGCCATGCAAAAGAGTTTGCAGTTTACTCTGTGGATGATGAAAAGTCAGCAGGCCTTCTAAGCAAGCAAGTCTGTGAGAAGATTTGCATTTATAATTAAAGAGGTGGCAATGTGACAGGTGAACAAGATGGGGAGAAAGTAAAGGCAAGGAAACGACTACGGGAGTCCAGGTGAGAGATGACATGGACCTCAATTACAGAGTAGGAGAGGAAATGGATAAGAGTAGACAGGTGAGAGGTAATTCAGAGGCTGGGTTGGGTGACTGGGTCCAAGTGGGTTAAACACAAGGGAGAAGGAGTTTCTAGTGTGGAGTGTTTGGAGTATACATTGGTGCCACCTATTTATATCAATACGTTGAGTTTGAGATACCTATTGAATTTCCAAGGATAACATGCAATGCATAGTTAGAAATATGAGCCTGAGTGTCAGGGTTGGGGTGGAGTGAAAAGGATAACTTCGAGAGTCATCAGCAACTGATAAAGATAACACAGCTGAAAGTAACTGGAGATGGTGAGATTCCCTGGGAAGAACTGCGATGTGGCTCAAACGAGGGCCCAAAACAGAGTTCCAAGGAAGACAAAAATTTAATGGATGAGGACAAGGAAATGCAGAACCAAAAGGAACAATCAGAATTTAGAAAACCAGAAAAGGCAGTACCTTGAATGTCTAGGGAGAGGAGATTTCAAGGAATAAGTTATCAAGAGCACAAACAGCTTTTCTTCTGGTAACAGTGAAATAATTCTGATCCCCAATCCTGACATATACACTTTAGGTAGTCAAATGCTCAGAAGCATATGACTTTTTTTATCTCCTTCTCCCCTCTTAAAACTTTCAAAAGGAAGTTAAGGATAGTCATCTGGAACATGCCAGTCCCTTACCATAATGTTAAACATGCACCAGAATTGGGGAACCCTTAAGAGCAAGATGCCAAGATCTAAAAGATGCTAAATAGAGGTACCTGCTGAAAATAGAAAAGTATGGGCCTGAGTCCCATTTGTTACCTGTAAAACCCACTTGGCAGGTGCACTCATAGGCATCCCGGCTAAGTACGTGGCAAGTGCCTCCATTCAGGCAGGGGTGAGACACAAAGCAGGGGTGAGTGGTCGAGTACTGGCAGTCCTCGCCCGTGAACCCCAAGGCACAGCGACATGTGGCTTTCCCCAACATGGCCTGGGCCACACATGTCCCACCATTCTGGCAGCGGTTCTTCTCACAAGGGTCTCGATGTTGACAATATTCTCCCAAGAAGCCCTCTTGACACCTGTGTGGAAAAGAGAGGAGTCTATGAAAACACTTGACTTCTTGTGAGTCCAAAAACTTACAAGATAATGTAGTCCATTCAAGAAAAACAACTTGTAAAACTGCCTCGCTTTAAGAGAAGTGCTCGGAGAACTTAACCACACACTCCCGTGTCCTCTGAGTCTTAAGACTTGAAAGGTGACAGAATACCACGTGGGTGATCCAGCATGGTCTGTCATAGCCAGTCAGCATGACCCTTATTCAAAGGCAAAATACAATCATAGCTTTTTTTCTTGTAGGTACAGGTTGGTATGGGGTAACAGTACCTTTCTGTGCAGCATTGTTGATACTTGTCTGTTTAAATTCATTAACTTTTTCATTTTGACTAAGCCATCTGAAAGGATCAAGATGGTCACATGACAATCCATGGGCTGATCCTCTTATCCTCTCTAATTTAAAATACATAAAATATCATGTGTTTCTCTCCAGTAAGCATTGAGAAATAATAACTTTTTCTTTTCTTATTTCCACTGAGACATTGACTGGCCTATACATAGATTTCTGGGTTCTGTTCAGGGGGTTGAGACTGTGATAAAGAAAGAAAAAGTAGGTACAGGAATAGGGGAGGGTTCGAAGGGGTTTTTTTTTTAACTTAAATCTGTTAAGATATAAGTAGTAGGTAGCTTTTATAACCAAATAAAAAAGCACAAAATATAATTAAAATAACATAAAAAATATCTAAGGTAGCATACAAACACCCAAGTGAAGAAGGGAAAACAATTCCAGAATAACATTCTACAACTTCTTCCATATGCTGTGTTGAGGACTCCCTTCATATGCCATGCACTGATTCAGAAGATGCATAACCATCCCAAATTGTGTGCAATATTTATGGAAATTTTCTCTAAACAGCATAGAAAAGGCATGGAAAGTCTCCATCTTCATAATGAAGAAGCTGTTTAAATGGGACCTCTAAGACACATTTAAAAGAACACAAAGACTGATTCTAACTATAAATTTTGTCACTTGGCTGTCACCCCAAATATTTGGTTCAATTTATTTCTCCACTTTACTTTTTGAAGGATAGGAAACTAAACCTAGAAGGCTGTTCTACCATTACCTCAAAGGTAACACATTTAAACCAAACTCGAAATTTTCCCCTCAAAGCCAGCTCCTATCATGTCTTCCTATGCCCAATTACTGTGTCCTGATTCTCCCAATCACCCATACTTGAAGCACAGTTTTACTCCTTCCTGTCTTTGCCAAACATCCCCAAGACATTTCATTAGCCATTGGGTGGCAAGGTGAGGTCTTTAGAAGTTACAGTTATTGAGAAAAGAAGGAGGACCAAATGTTAGGGAACTAAGAGTAACGTGCCCAGAAGAATTAGGCAGTAGCTAAAATGGCTGGAGGGGGAAACAGCTGCTAAGTAGCTACAGTAGTAGTGATGTAATTGGCCACTGCCTCCTCACCCCTTCCCAGAGCTGTATACAGTAAACATGGCAGTCAGGAGCAGCTAGAGCTTTGAGCATCTTCATGAGCAGGTGAAGCTAGAGATTGAAAGGCAGGGAGGAGAAGGCACAGCGCTGAAATCAAAGACCGGCTGAAATTTCCAGGGAGGAGTCTGTACCTCATATGGTGAGAAGGCCTGTTGGGAGTCCCGATGCTGTGACCTTGGACAAGTTACTTAACCTCATTGACTATTAGTTCTCTCATATTTTAAATAGTTAATAAGGCTACCTACATCGTGGGATTATTGTAAGAATTGAAAAAAAACAAGTGTGTGAAAAACATTATACATAAAAAGTTTTGCAAATGAAAAACATTTTTCTTTCCTTGTACTTATTGAGGAAAATATGATGCTTTATTCAAATCACAGCTTGATTTGATAATAGGATAGGTTATTTTCTGATTTTTTTTAAGTAGAGGAGCAAAAATTGTCAATGTAGCACTGCTAAAATTAACCTTGAGCTATATTATCAAAAGCATTTGTAACTTATTCAAGAAATCTGTTGTGAATGATGTTAAAAACTGCAACACAATTCTCATGTACAGTGATAGTCCTCTGGGCATTAAGCCTGGCTGACAACTTTTGATTCTCCCATATGGGAATTATTCACCTTGCAAATAATAGTAAACTTTTAAACTTGGGTGGGCTTTGCTCAGCTTTGCTGCCAGACTATTACACCACCACAACCTCTCCAACCCTATCATGTGGCACATGCTCAGAGAATGCAAACTCCTTTAAATATCAGCATTGTATACACGTAATGAAAACATAAGGTGCCCAGGAAAACAAACAGGAAACAATATGAAAAATTCCGGAGCCAAACAAAAGTATTCCTGAATTATCTGTTACTAGGGTTTAATCTACATTGTTGCTATCTACCAAGTATGGAAAAATAAGTTTCAACTAAGATATGTTAATAAACCAGGAAAGCAGAGGTTGGCAAACTACAGCTTACAGGCCTACTCTGGCCCGCTGTCTGTTTTTTTTTTTTTGGGGGGGGTGGGGGGAAGATCAGCTCTGAGCTAACTGCTGCAATCCTCTTTTTGCTGAGGAAGACTGGCCCTGAGCTAACATCCGTGCCCATCTTCCTCTACTTTATATGTGGGACACCCACCACAGCATGGCTTGCCAAGCAGTGCCATGTCCACACCTGGGATCCAAACCGGCGAACCCCAGGCCGCGGAAGTGGAATGTGTAAACTTAATCGCTGTGCCACTGGGCTGGCCCCTCTGCTGCCTGTTTTTGTATAGCCCATCAGCTGAGAACGGTTTTTACATTTTTAAATAGTTGGGGAAACAAATCAAAAGCATCATAATATTTCATAACACTTAAAAATTATGTAAAACTCAAATTTCAGTGTCCACAAATAAAGCCTTATTGGAACATAGCCACACCTGTCCATTTATGGACTGTCTGACTACTTTTGCATTACAATAACAGGGTTGAAGTTAAGATGAGACTATATGGCCCACAAAAAATATTTACTATCTGGTGCTGTACAGAAAACATCTGCCAACTCCTGTGTAAGAGAATATATGAAGCCTAATTCTATAAATAGCATCCAATATGCTTATTAATAATGATGTTGGTGATGAAGAAGAATGTTTTCATATCAGTTTCCACAAAGAATATTACACTCATTCATTCATTCAACAAACATTTAGCAAGTGCCTATTATGTGCCAGGAATTGTTCTAGTGCTAAGGATATTCTTGAACTTGTGGAGTTTAAATTCTACTAGGAGAAGATAAAAAACAAAATCAGTAAGTAAAATACATAATTTGTTAGGTGGAGTTAAGTGCTATGTAAAAAATTAATTAAAACAGGAAAGCAGGATAGGAAAGGATGGAATTGGGGAGAGCAGGGGGTAAAGTGAGGTACTTTGATTTTAAATAGGAAAATCAGAGAAGGCCTCAGTGAGGAGGCACAGTTGAGTCAAGACCTGAATGAAGTGAGGGACTAGCTATGCAGGCATCTAGGGGAAGCATGTTCAAGGTGGAGGGAACAGCAAATGCAAAAGCCCCCAAACAGGCACTGGTGCCAGCAGTTTGAGGAGTAGCAAGGAGACCTTTATGGTTCTACCAAAGGGATTAAGAAACAGGGCAGCTGAAAACAGATGAGAGCTGTAACCAGAAGGCGGATCATGAAAGGCCTTTAGTCCACTGTTAAGAAGGATTTTGTGTTATTCTAAGTGAGATAATTCTTGGATAAGAAGTTTAACTGACTCACTCTCCTAAAGTCCTTGTACAGAACCACATCTTATATTTATGCGAAACTAGACCTACTGCTGGTATAATAATAAAGACTCAACTTCTTACTTTAGATGTTCTAGCAGGCTAGACATCAGCCTCTTTCTTTACCTTAAAACATGTATAAGTCCCTTTTAACCTACATTTTTCACTAAGCCCCATTTCCCAATTCTCCTTCCTTCACAATCAAACTTCTATAACTATAGCCTAATTTCATAGATATTTTCCCTTTCTTTTCCATCTACTTCTTACTTGTCCCTTTGCAACAAAAAATTCATTCTAATTATTGCCCAGAAACTATGTTCTAAGATCAATGACCCTCCCCTTGTCAAGTTCAGCGGTCTCATCTGAGATTTCATAAGGAAATTCTCTCCTATAGAAAGTATTGCTGACCGTGCCTTCCATCATTTTAATCTTTTCACATTTGGCTTCCATGACTCCTTCTGTCTACCTCAAAACTCCATAAATTCTTAGGTGTAGATGACTGATTCCTCTTCCCCTTCTTCCCCCTCAATTATGACCACTTTAAAGTTGAAGTCCGGGCTGCACTGCTCTTTTTTCTCATAAGCATTTGTTATTGTTGTTGTTCACCTGGTTTTAAGCAACTACCTTCATGTATTTGACTCTCAAAATACAGCTCCAGTTCCATATGCTCAGTTTACTAAAAGTCATCTACTTACCATAACATATCCTGCCAATATCTGAAACTAAACATTTAAAAAGTGGGATCATTTTCCCATGAAACTTCAGTTCCTCCATTTTTCTAAGGCTTCCATTCACAATCTCAAAAGTCGCTTTGGTTAATCCTTTTCAGTTATATATAATTTATTGCCATGTTCTGACAAGTCTTGTTAACTAAATTCCTATAATACTTATCATTCATATTCACAGTCTCCTTTTTGATACAAATTCTGATCATCTTAAAAGCCTCAGGCCAGGCATCTTGTTGCTGGCTTTCTCCTGACTTCGATCCATCCTCTGAATTCAAGACACCCTAAGGTAATTCTATCCAATGAGATAATTCTTTCTAAAACAACCCTCAAAGATGATCATAAGCCTCTACCTGAATACCAGCAGTTAAGCAAGGTGCCTAGAAATAGTAAGAATTTAATAAATTCCTGAAGTTATTATTGTTCCTGCTATTAAAAGGATAGACTCTAGATCCAGAGTACCTGGATTTCAATCCTTGCTCTACCATTCACTTGATGAGTGGCCTTGGGCAAGTTGGTAAACTTCCCTATTGTAAGATGGATTTAATAATAGT